CCTAACCTCAGCATTGCTAGTCCGGTTACCCCACCAGACACGTGCAATGCTACGTAGACAGCGGTGTTCGAACACCGACAATCTATTTTTATCCTGTTCCCTTAGTGGCCAAGTCTCTGCACCGTAGAGCAGGACTGGTCGAACTGCTGCAGCATACACTCGACCCTTCACAGACAGCCGGATGTCGCGACGGCGCCACAAATGTCTCAAGTTGGCAAATGCCAATCGAGCCTTTTGTATGCGCGCCGACACTTCATCTGTGATGCGTCCGCCAGGTGAGATATAGCTGCCTAGATAGCAAAATTTGTCTACTTCCTCTACTACTTCCCCAGTTAGGGTGAGACTGGGTGCTGGATCAACCCAATCTTGTAGTAGCATTTTACACTTTGAAGGTGCAAAACGCATACCGAACATCGCTACACTAGCACTCAAACTATCCAGAAAAGCTTGCAACTTACCTGGATCGTCACTTAGTAGCACAATGTCGTCTGCATACTCTAGATCAGACAGTCTGCCACCCGGAAGTAAATCGATACCGCTATCCCTGCACGAGGATAGGGCTGTTTCAAGAATTAAATCTATGACAAAGTTAAATAGAAAAGGAGAGAGAGGGCAACCCTGTCGAACACCACTTTCCGTGGTGAACTCGGGTGAAAAAGTGCCGTAAGCTCGAACTCGGCTTCGGCTATTATTGTAGAGGGATTGTAATATTGAAATTAACTTCTCGGGCACTCCCTTCAGGGAAAGGCAGCGCCAGAGTTTAGAGCGGTCGACTGAGTCGAAAGCCGCTTTTAGATCGAGGAAAATAAAAATGGTGGGTCTACGAAAGGAGTGTCTATGTTCTAGAATTTGACGGAGTGTGAAGATGTGGTCAATACAGCCTCGACCAGGTCTGAAACCGGCCTGGTTCTCACGCGTACACCGTTCACGTGCGGCAGACAATCGACGGAGTATGATACCGGCGAGAAGTTTAGAGGCAATATTGATTAAACTAATTCCTCTGTGGTTTTCACAGGAGGATCTGTCACCTTTCTTGTAAATCGGTATGATCACCGATTCACACCATTCAGTTGGAACCTGTTCCTTTTCCCACACTGAGCCCAGGAGTTTTGTTAACTCCAAAACCAAGGCTGAGCCTCCATCCTTAAAAACGGATGGGGACAGCCCGTCGGGGCCGGAAGCCTTATGCCGTTTGAGGTGACTTATTTCCCGGGTAACCTCCATTTCAGATGGAGGACTGATGTCAACTGGCAGTATTTGCACAGTTGAATCGGGTGTAGGAAGGTCTTGTGTCGAAGGGGACCAGCTAAACTGTGCCTTAAAATGTTTTGCCCAACGTTCAAGACGACGTTCCTGAATTTGAATCAGTGTGCCGTCAGACTCCTTAATTACCTCACTTACGCCTGCTTTCCTTGGTCCTGTACTCCTAATCAAACGAAAAAGATTGCGACTATTACCAATAGCCAGAGCCTTCTCCATCTCTCTACACTTTCCTACCCACCACTTCTCGCGGTCATTCCTCAGACTCTTAATGAGCTGAGGAATGACCGCGAGAAGCGGGATACCTTCGGTGAAGGTTAGCAACAAATAAGCAGTCGCCAACACACAGCGGCGGCACTACCAGGGTGTGGTGGGTTTCATGCTGGTCACCTGGCTCCTGATTAAAAGACGCATAAGTCCAATAACGGTGTCGTGAACTAGGTCGATATGACTGGCCTTTTAAAACTAAAGTTATTGACCCCCTTACTTTCGAGGTGAGGGATTACTTCCTGCAGCCTTGCAGTTCACGCCTGGTTGTGCAAAGGCTAGAGGTGCGAACCTCAAAATAAAAAAAAACGAGTGACGCTGGGGAAGTCTCTCGCATCAAACTCCCAAGTAACTTTATGATCATGTCTTCTAAGGCGATAGTCAGAGACATTCATGGAGTCGGGTTATCCTTTCCAAGGAGTCAACCGTAGTAAAGTAAAGTAAAAGTAAAATACACTGTTCCTTTAAAAACACCGGATGTGTAGCCTGGCTACGCTCGAGAGTATCTGAAAGCGAAAGGCTTAGCAATCGGAGGTCCAGAAATGAACCCACGCACCGTTTATAGAGTAGTTACTCCACCAAAGGTGGCAATGACTCAAACAAAGATGAAAGACCTAACTGAAGAAGCGGAATCAGGATATCGACGATCCTGGCATAATCCATGCTAGAAAGGAGAATGCATGAGCGAATGCCCCAAGCAACTAATGCCTGCAACCATGCGGAACAGGCAAACCAAAGATGGTGACAACTCTCGAGCATATTACACCGTAGATCTGAAGCCACTACAGGATATACGGGAAGTCGGGAAATCACGCTGAGTGAAACACTCTGTGACAAAAGTAGAAAAGCGGTTCATATTAGGGAACAACGGCTCGGCCGGTGGGCGGAGTACCTTAACGAACAGTCCAACTGGCCAGGCGCTAACCAGACTACCTTCTCTGGTATAGCTGAAGTTCCGGTAGTAGTAGTGTCCTGTGAGCCTCTTACTGAAGCACAAGTATGATCCTGCATCCAAGCTCTAAAGAAAGGAAAAGGACCGGGACCTGAAGCGCTTCCCCCCACTCTTTTCAAGGTGGGGGCAAAGACCTCATGTACTCTAGTACCAAGTTAAGGCGCAACATCTGATCAAAAGAGCGCATTCCATCATCCTGGAGCGAATTCCTGATCGATCCAACTTTTATGAAGAGATCTCGCAACGACTGTGCTAAATACCGTGGAAAAGGTTTGATTCCAATCGTCAACAAGATATTAGCCTTCGACGTCTGATACCCTTAAATGGGACAAATATTCGCGAAAATTAAGCAGGAATTCGAAAAGGTCGCGGTTGTATCGAATAGATATTCACTCTGCGTCAAGTCCTCAAACTTTAGTTTACACAAAGCAGACCAACGGTTGTCGTGCTCCTTGGCCTAAGAAGAGCCGTCGACTCAGTTGACCGTGAATCTATTATGGGTTCGCTCCTTCACAAAGCAATGCTGTAGAAGTAGGTGAACATTCTGAGGTCAATCTACACGCATTATTCCGGTAGCATAAGAGTCTACGGCAAGTTGAGTTAGTCGTTCGAAACTATCAGCGGTGTTCGTCAAGGATGCCTTATTAGGCTATTCCTGTTCAATTTCGACGTAGGAGTTGAAAGACCATGTTTATTGTGCTACCGTTAGTCCAGTTCGTCTTGATGACTGTGAGAGCTTGAATTTGGGAGTAGAAAATATTCATCTACTAGAAGTTTTTCAATCATCCGTGCTTGCGTAATTTAGCCCACATGAGATGTAGCGAAAGGGTTAATAAACTGGAAGTGAGCTGTCGTTTCTTCGGGAATTTATCTGGGATAAACTTACTAGTTCATCGAATTCAGATTAGTAGAATTCGCTGATTGCGACACGCATTGCGTATGCCTAGTTGTCATCTGCAGCACCGCGCTTTATTCCCTGTAGCGGACCCTGGTTGGAGGAAACCCCACGGGGGTCAATAAATGACGTGGAGACCAGGCATGAAGTACGGCAGTCATTAGGTAGAGTAGGTGTCCAGTGCCTAGGCCCGAAAGACTGCAGCTGGTTGGTTGGATATATTGAAAATTATATGGCAGTGAATCGACAGTATTGGTGTTCTTGTCATTTATTATCACTCCAGAATGCTTGAAAAGGTGTTTGCACAGTAAGATTGCGTGCTCTGTGTTGACCATAAGCCCAATCCCTGCTTATTTGAGGTTATCATACCCTCGCATCCTACAAAGAATGAG